GGGCAAGGGGTGTCTATGTGTGGGTTGTTCATCCCTCTCTGACATCCCAGGCATGAGGCTTAGTGTGACCCATAGACATGGGGCTTGGGTTCAGACCACCAATGGGACAGACCTGCTGTAGTTATCCACTGCTGCGTGACAAATGGCTCCCAAGGTTAGCTGCTTCCCACGGCAGTGTTGAGTGTGGCGCAGTCTCTGCAGGACAGGCACTCGGGCACCGCCGTGCCAAGCCCGTGCTCATCTGATGGTCTGCTGCTGCAGTCCCTCTTCCAGGCTCTCCCCTGTGGCTGCTGGCAGGAATCAGTTCCTGTGGCCTCTGGGAGGTGACTGGACAGCCAGCCTCGCCCAGTCGGTGGGATGGGGAGTGTGGGCACTCATGGTGAAGCCACGGCTTATTACATCTGAAATCTCAGAAGTGGTGCACACACCTTCTGTTCCTTGGAAGTGCCTCCTGGGTCTGTTCTGTGAGGGCAGGAGCATGTGGGTCTGGCCGACAGTCCTCCTCTTCTCAGGGACCACAGGACACAAGCACAGCCCTGGGAACCCGTAGGCACATGCTGCACTGGCCCAGAGTATGTCCTTGGAATGCCAGGGCTCCGAACCTCCCTGGCTGTGTGTCCTCAGGGAAGCGACTCCCCGCTCCGTGGCTTGGTCTCCCTCCCTGAGGAACAGTGGCTGAGATCATTGGGTCTCCCTCAGTCCTGCTAAGATGCAGGCCAGTGAGCGAGCAGCTGCCTGCTCAAGGTGTCTGCCTTCAAGAAGCACCTGTTGCCGTGCTGGCTGCCATCTTGGTTTTCAGCAGCAGCATTCTCCAGATGAACCCTTGCGTGTCATTGGTTTGACCCTGCCATGCTGTACACGTGCATCAGTACAGCACCTTGTTACGATTATGATCTGTCTGGGGTGCCAGGGTTGCTTGATGTTGAGCACTTCCTGGTGTGTGCGAGGCCCAGACTCCATCCCCAGCAGCGCATGCACATGCCTGAGGTGGACTCTCGCTGTGAAAGCAGATAGGGTGGGGTGGTCGATGAGGCAGGGGTCCCCAGGGCCACTCCGATGCACAGTTCTCTCTGCAGCTCCAGCATGGCTCTTGGCATGACGCGCTCATGGCTAGGGGAGCTGCTCCCTGCCAAGGCCTCCCGACGGCTGGCAGGCAGCAGGTCTGGTGCTCTTGAGGACCCGGGCTTGTCTTCCTCCTCTCCCTCCTGGGGGGCCCTCAGCTCTGGGCAGAGCTGGCCCATGGGGTGCTTGACAGACGGTGGCTTGGGGTCAGAGGTGCCCATGGTTGGTCCCAGGGGAGAGTCTGAGGCAGGGCCTAATGGCCACTCTTCTCACAGGATGCCCACAGCCAGCACGTGGGGCGCTGTGGGCACTGTGGGGCTGGTGTGGGCCACAGACTGGCGGCTGATTCTGGACTGGGTGCCTTACATCAACGGCAAGTTCAAGAAGGAAGACTAGCTAAGCTGGCCCTCCGTGGACCCCTCTGGTGAGTCATGGCCAGGGTGTTCAGACCTCAGCCTAGTGGCACTGGGTGGGTGGACTAAGTGGCTGCTGGAGGGTAAAGTGGGGTTGTCCTGGAGAGCCTGCAGGAGGGCAGAGCTTGGACACTTCTGCCTGGTGGCCCAGCTGGGGGTGGGGGGGTGCCCTCAGAACTCAACAGCCCCCAGCAATCTGGAACTGGGCAGTGGTTGCCCAGTCTGGGGCAGGGTGGGAGGCCCCTCTTTACAGATGGGGAGGTTAAGGCTGGACTTCTGGATGGGCTGTTCATGTCCACTGTGCTGACCACTTTGATTTTGTCATGGCCTGTTGCACATGTGACAGTCCTGTGTCACAGGTCCACGTCACAGATGCAGACTGAGTGCCAAGGTTATGCAGCCAATATGAACCTGGGCCATAAAGCCCAGAACCACCTTCCATTTCACTATGTCTGGTGGCTGGTGTCCCTGGCCACTCACCCTGCCTTGTCCCCATCCCCAGGTGTATGTCCAGAGCAGCCCAAGCCCAGAGGATGGATGCAAGGACTCACCTCGTGGCTGGAGGGTCATCAGCCTGCTCTGCGGACTACTCTGCCTGGGTCTCGGTCATGCTGTGACTCAGTTCCCCGACTGAAGTCCCCGAGGCCTGCCTGACCATGGCTTCTTCCAACTCCATAATTTTGCAAATCTAGGAGGCTTATCCAATGACTGGCAGAAATTGTCTGAATACTTAAAATATTTAAATATTCAGTGGTTGGTACTGTGCGATGTGTTCCTCTACCGCTGCCCTGACAGAGAACCCCACAACTTCATTGGCATCAAATAGACACACAGTCTCCTGGACGAGTTTAGGGCCATGTGTCTGGATGGGTCTGGCCCAGGGTGCTGCCACTGCAGTCAGGACACAGGCCAGGCTACCCTTGGAAGCTTAGTGGAGGCTGCAGGAGCCACCTCCTTAGTGGAGGCTACAGGAGCTCTGTGGCTGCAGGTGGGAAGCCAGAGCTCCTCCCAGGTGGGCCTCCAGCGTGCTGTGCTGGCTCCCTCCCCAAGGTGAGCAACCTCAGGGAGAGTCAGGAGGAAGCCACTGTCCTCTTACGACCTGACCTCAGAAGTCTCTTGCCACCATTCCCATCACTTCCTAGCTCCAGCCAGACCAGAACAACTGTAAAGGAGGAAAAGTTTATGGGCTCACAGTCCTCAAGAGTTATTAGTCCAGAGAAGGCCAGCTCCATTCCTTGGGGCTCGAGGTATGGCCGAACATCATGGTGGTCAGGAAGCAGAGAGATTCCACTCTCCAGATCCATAGCCACATCCCCAGTGAACCACCTCCTCCAGCTCCCACTCAGTTAATCCCATCAGGGATCAATACACTGATTAGGTCAGGGCTATAGCCCAATCATTTCTCCTCCAAACCTTGCAGTGAGCTTTTGGTGAACACCTCACCTCCAAACCATAATAGCTACATCCTCAGCCCTTTTTATTTTGAGACAGTCTGGTGAAGTTGCCCAGGCTGATCTCAAACTTGAGATCCTCCTGAGTCACTGGGATGACAGGACCATGCCATCGCACCCAGCAATGCGACCTTTTGTGTCTAGTTCTCCCACTGAGCACAGTGTCCTTGGGGTCTGTCCCCAGTGCAGCAACTCCACATGCCTGAGTGATGCTCCAGGTGGGGGTGGACACTCGGGCTGTTCCTGCCCTTTGGCTGCCGTGAGACTTCCTACAAACCTGTGTGAGCCTCTCCTTTCAGGTCCTAGGTCTGTGCCTAGGAGTGAGCTGCCAGGTTTCCTAGTCCCTGGTCTCCAGCACCACTGCCCCCTCTCACACTCCTGCCAGCCAAGGGCAGGGTTCGGATGGCTCTGCTTGCTCACCAGCACTCATCGGCCTCCATTCTTTACACAGGCGTTCCAGGCCCACCCTCTGCTCACCCTGACCCAGCCCTGGAGTGAACAACTTGGCAAAGAAAAGCATCCCCCTGCAGGCTGACAGGGCTCATCCTACCCATGTCACCACGTGCTGTGCTGGGTGGGCAACCACGGTCCATGGCATAGACAGTCTCCACACTCGCACTGGCCCCTCTCCAGATCGCCCCGCTTGGCATTGCAGTATGGGCCTCTGGGTCTTGAGCCACCAATGAGCTGCAGAGCATTGAACCCCTCAAGTTCCTGGTGTGGGGAGAGAAACCATCTGCCCCAGGGCAGCACTGTCCAGAGCAAGGGCTGTTGTGGGTAGAGGAGAGGGGGCTGAGTGGGACTCAAGTCCCTGTCATCATCCATCTGTCTTCCCACACCCTCCCACGTGCATCTGTCCAGTTATAGCTTTTTCAGGTCTTGTAGGATGATGCCCCACAATTGGTGCAAGTCACAACCCCAGGACCTGTGGACACGCCACCTTCCACGGCAAAGGGGACTGGAAATGGGGTTAAGGACCTGGAGGTGGTAGGTCATCCTGGGTTATTCGTGAATAAAATTTATAGGAGGCCACTGGTTTAGAGTGCACTCCTGCACACTCGAGGCCCAACAGTTTAGACTAAAATGGAGTCAGGCTCAAAAAGATTCAGGGCCACCGAGCCAAAACTAAACTCCGATCTTCCCAGAGGTCAGGAGAGAAAACAGCCAAATCTCCAAGCGGGCGCGACAAGGCTCTGAAGGACAGTCCCGCGTTTCCGCGTGCTTCAGCCCTTCCTGGTCTGCAGCCTGCGCTCAGCCCGTGGGATCACTTGTTCTTTTACAGAACGAGGGGCTGCCCAGTGCTGGAATCACGCATGAAGCCAATTAAGACCTTCAGGCTAAACGTGTTAATTTTGTCTTTTGAGCTGTGGGTTGGCCCAACGCCACCATCTGGCTCCTTAGAACCAGGGACCTTCTCCGGGTGACTGCAGACCAGCTGCAGCGGAGGAAAGGTAGTCCATTTTCCAACACCTGCCCCCGGGCGTGCGTCGAGCCAGAGCCACCCCTTCCACCTCCTATCCCCCTGGTCGGGTGGGGCAGGGGATGGGAGACGGTCCCACGCGCAGGCCTGGGCCCCTCTGGGCGAGATGACGGGACAGGTGGAAGGGCGCTCAGAGGCGCACTGCGTCGGCGGTGGAGCCCGAGGGTTAGAGCCCCGGCACCGCGAAAAAGCGTTGGCAAGACTTGGTTGCTCGTGAGAGTCTGGAGGGTGGAGAAGGGCCGAGCAGGGAGGGTACGAGCCTGCCACCGCGGCTCCTCAGCGGCCGCGCTACCGAGGCACTCCGAGGTTCGGGACAGAGGACCCACACGCGCGTGGAGGCCGAGAGCCCAGAGCGCAAGCGAACACGCGGCCCCGCCCCGAGCCGCGCCCCGATTGGCCTCGCCTCCATGGGGCGGGGGCTACGCCGCGGCTGCGCAGTCGAGCCCCGCGGGCGGGTGGGCGGAGCGGCCCCCCGAGCGGGGGCTGGCGAGCGCGGGGAGGGGGCCGAGAGGGCGGCAAAGCCGGCGCGCGCCCGGCTGGGGGCGGAGGGCGGGGGCCTGCGGGCCGGAACAGCCGCGGCAAGTGGCGGCGGCGGAGGCAGCTGAGGCGGCGGCGAGCGGGGGTCGCGGCGGCGGCGGCAGCGGGCCCGGAGGCGGGCCGAGGAGCCGGGCGCGATGGAGCGGAAGAGGTGGGAGTGCCCGGCGCTCCCGCAGGGCTGGGAGAGGGAAGAAGTGCCCAGAAGGTCGGGGCTGTCGGCCGGCCACAGGGATGTCTTTTACTATAGGTGAATGAGCGCGCCGGCCGCGCAGGGCCCCAACGGGCGCCTCCCAGCGGTCTCTGCGGCGGCCTGGGCGCCCCTGTCCTGGGCCGCGGCCTGGGCCGCGCGCGTGCGTCGTGCGTGCGAGCGTGCGTAGACCTTGTGTGCCCGCCCGCCTAGCGCACGGCAGCCTAATGCGCGTGCGTGCCCGCTGATGCGCGGCTCAGTGCGCGTGCGCCGTGTGGCGCGCGGCCGCATGGCGCTCTAGCACCCGGCGGCTGAAGCTTTTGTACTGGCTGCCGCGGGGAACGTGCGCTCTAGGCTAGGGGCGCCCGGCAGCGGCCAGACGCGCTGGGAGGCGGGTGGGGGTGGGGGCTGGGCTCTCCCTCTGGCTCCCGTGGTGTGTTCCCCGGGTCCCGCGGAGCCCGAGGCGGGTGGCCAAGCCGGGATTTCGGGGAGCAGTGCTCGTTGCGGGGACTGGAGCTAACCTGCTTCAAGATGCACAGTCCTGGGCCCGTTTCAGTCCTGGGAGTGAGTTCCCTAGGGTGACTGGGATTCCCTGCTTTTGAGGGGGGACCCCCACCTTTGGGAATGTTTGAAGGCCGCTGTCCCTCGTGGGTACCCAGGCCTGAGAACTGCTACTGCTACTTAGGTACCCATTTAAGACTAGTGCGTTGATGCTTCTGGTGGTCAGTGTTTTTTATTGAGAGCCCTCAACCCTAGATTGGAAGGAGGAGCTGGTCTTGACTGGGAAAGGCAGCAAGGACTCCTTTGGTGGAACAAAGAATTAGTCACCTGCTCAGACAGGCCATCACGTACTGTTTTCCTTCTCCCTAATTTTGAAAGATGCCCGTTTTTCTTTTTGGTGCTGGGGCTCTACTCCAGGGGCTCCCACATGCTAGGCAAACCCTCTATTACTGAGGTACAGCCGTAGCCTGGAAGATGCTTCTGATTCTGCATCACTTTTTAATTGCCCCTTCCTTCCTTGTCTTCAGTGTGTTGGGGTGCCTGCCATCTGCAGAATGCCAGCCTGGGTGCTGGGGGTGCAGCTCCGAATGCATGGGTGAGCAGATGTGGAGCCAGGGCCAGCCAGCCCTTCATCAGCTGAGCACTGTGGTTCTTTCCTGTCCACTGTTTGGGCTGTAGAGTAAGGGGTGGCTTGTGTTTGGATCAGGATACGTTTAGATTCTGATTTCAAAAAAGTGTAGGGACAGCAAGGGAAGGTGTGACTGTCAGCCCCGAAAGGTGTAGGAGTTGAATGATGGGGCTGCTAGCAGTCCCTCTTAGAGACACTGTGTATTTCCCTTGTCCCCTCTCCTGTGACTTCATCCCCCCACCTCATTTCTTTAGAAAGCTGAAATTCCTGGGGTTCTGGTTTTTTGGGCCTGTGAAGAGGCTTCAGGCCAGGATTCTCCAGAGCCATTCCAAGAACAGTGGTACTCTGGTCTGTGTCTGACTCTCTGGTCCTTTGTTTGGTTAACACCTCTGCAGCAGCTGCTGGGCTGGGGTGGCCGCTGAGCTGGCACGGAGAGTGGGTCCATCCCTCTGGTGTCAGAGCACCAGCCACCACTCCACACTGAGCTGCAGGGATCTATGGGGTGCTAGGGGAGCCCTGGAGGACCCCCTGAGGAAATGACAGGGGAACAGGAGACACCTAGGCAAGGCCCCAGAACCTGAGGGCTGGCTGCAGTTCAGGAGCTAAACCAAGGTCAGGTTGGCCAGTGTCCTGAGACTGATCACATCACACCTTATTCCCATCTACCCTGAAGCTTCTTAGGGGTCAGCTGGGGTCCCTCTGAGGTCCTCTAGATGTAGGGATCTAGCTGTAGGAAATGAAGTTGACCATTCCAGAGCTGCCCTCCAAGGTGCAGGTTTGGGGGACTCCTTACCCTGGACTCCAGTCTCGGCATAAGAGAGCTCAGGCTTCTGTGGTCGTTTTTATCCCGTGTATCTGGTTTCATTAAATCTGTTCACTTTTCTTTCAATAAAAAACCAGGGACATCTTTCTGTGTCAATACAGACATGCATGATCTTTTTCAAAAATGTGATACCATTCATATTCATAGTTACTCTTAACCTGGTAGTTTTGTACAATCAGAGTTGAGCAGCGGCCACTCTGTCTACTTGCAGTTCATTCTCAGCTTAACAAGACGTAGTTCATGTGCTGTACCGTCCACCCACTGTGTGCAAGTCAGTGGCGTTCTAGAATGTTCACGTGTTTTCAGACGTGTGTGGCCATGACCAGACTCAGCTCTAGGACTTTCATCACTGCTGAAGGAGACCCTTGACCATTGTAACTTGATTGCCCTGAGCCCTTAGCTGTACCAAGCCCTGTAAGCAACCACTAGGCTGAGTTCTGTGTCTGTGTTTTCCTGTTCTCGGTCTCTTGAAGGTAGGGCACGTGGAGGAAAGGACTGTGGGCAAGCGTTTCCTGGGGTCTCTTCCTTCTCTGTGGCTGTGTCTGGGACCAGTCAGGGCCTCAGCTTCTGCATAAAGCCTGGACATGTGCACTCAGTTTTGACATCAGCCCACAGCATAATTGCAGAAGTGAACCTCTGGAGTCCTCTATCCCTCAGGACACCAGGCACTTACAGGTTCTCTGTGCCCCAGTGCCCTCCCTGGTACCTGGTCCTGGAATATGTGTCCGAGCCCCACCAGGTCCTTGTGCACCATCCCGTTTCACTGCGAGTGCAAAAACATACCTTCCCAGGATCTGTGTATTGGCCAGTGCATCGTGACACTGGGCTGGGGGCTGCTGTGCCAGAGGGCAGCTGAGTCTCCCTCCATGATTGCAGGATTGGGTTTCCTCTTGGCTGGACTGGACCATGAGCCGTCCTGTTTTCTGGCATCTACCCAGGGCTAGGTCAGGATCCTGTCCTAGAAGTTTACAGGGGAGAAGGACACAGTTGAGCCACCACTAATCTCAGCTACAAAACACACACACAGGGAATGAACTGAGGGGTGCTCTATCACTGAGGTACATGTCCAGAGCCCTTTTTATCTATTTATTTTGAGACAGTTTTGAAAAGTTGCTGAGACTGGCCTTAAACTTTCTCCTGGAGAAACAAAGTTTTTTCCCCTCTTCCTCTTGGGGTTGGGGATGCAACCCAGACCCTCATGCATGCTAAGCAGGTACTGAGCCACATCCTGGCCTTCAGACTAAATTATTAACAAGCGCTTTTTACTGAGTTCGTATAAGTTTTGTGCTTGAACATCTGGCCTAGTGACATCACACATGCTCTTACGACTTTTTAATGACTTTTTGAAGTTAGCACATGCCACATAGTTCAAACATCCAGGTCAGTGCACACTTCGGTGGTGTTTAACCACGACGCTGTGCAACCATGAGCGTTAACTAGTAACATTTCCATCACCACAACAGGCAGCCAGCCTCCACAGTAGTCACCCATTCCCTCCCCAGTACTCGAGAAGCCACATCATGTCTGGACTCCCCTGTTCTGGATGTTCCCTGTCACTGGAGTCACACACTGTGAGGCCTTGTGTGTGTGTGTGTCTGGTTCTCACTGAGCATGAGGTCCTCAGGTCCATCCACACTGCAGGTGTGTGTCTGACCGTCCATTCAGACACTGGGGCTGTTCCTTCCCTTGGGCATTGAGTCATGCTGCTCTGGGCATTCATGAGCAAATCTCCATGTGAACGCGTTTTCACACCAGGTCCAGGAGTGAGTGGCTAGGTCATTTGAGGAGCAGCCAGATTCTCCATGCTGCCTGCTGATGATGCTGGCTCTGCAGTAGGTGTTCTGTAGGATGGTGGCAGGTGGCATGCAGAGCACTCAGGTGGTGGTACATGCTTGTAATTGCGGCCGCTCAGGAGGCTGAGGCAGGAGGATCCTGCAAGCTTTCAGCCAGCCTCAGCAATTCAGAACCTGCCTCAAAATAAAGGGCTGGGTGTGTAACTTAGTGAAGAGCACCCCCTGGGTTCAGTCCCCAGTAGTGCAGAACAACAACAAAACAGCTGGATGACTCCATAGATGGGTGTCCTGGAGTGAGCAGGGCACCCTGCACAGCCTCCCACCCAGGTAACCACCCAAAGGAGCCAGCTCCCAGGGATGCCCCTCAGGCTGGTCTCCTTGTGAACCACAGTGCGGGAAGTCGTGGTGACTGTCCGGCAGCTGCCCTCCACCCTGGGGTGGGAGGGTCTCCAAGGGGCTTCCTGGCGGTCTAGCTGGGTCTGGCAGGCCCAGAGGCCTGCGCCGACCCGCCTCTGCCCGCAGCCCCAGTGGGAAGAAGTTCCGCAGCAAGCCCCAGCTGGCGCGCTACCTGGGGGGCTCCATGGACCTGAGCACCTTTGACTTCCGCACCGGCAAGATGCTGATGAGCAAGATGAACAAGAGCCGCCAACGCGTGCGCTATGACTCCTCCAACCAGGTCAAGGTGAGTCGGGGTGGTGCCAGCGCCACTGGGGAAGGTGCTGCCGGGAGAGGCTTCCCCTGACTGAGGTGGCCCCTGGAGAGGGGCCTGAGCCCACCCCCAAGCTGGCCATGGTGGGCATGGCCGCAGGCAGCCTATGGAGCCCAGCGGGCCACCCTGCTGGAGTACCTTGTTCTTTCTGGCAGGGCAAGCCCGACCTGAACACAGCGCTGCCTGTGCGGCAGACAGCGTCCATCTTTAAGCAGCCTGTGACCAAGATCACCAACCACCCCAGCAACAAGGTGAAGAGCGACCCACAGAAGGCTGTGGACCAGCCCCGGCAGGTGAGCCCGTGGTTCCCACTTTTAAAGGGAGGCTTCCTTGGGAGGGCCGCACTGCTTCCCTGAGCCTTGCTCTGCAGGAACTAGCTCCCCACGTGCGGCCTTCCCTTCTGCCTCTCTGTTCCGAAATAGATCGCTCAGTCTGTGGGCACCGTAGCTCAGTGGCAGAACTGGCTCAGCTGCTCTAGGACCTGGCTTCAGAGCCTGGCACTACAAAAGAACAGCATGCTACATAAATGGCTTTCTAATCTGCTTTTTAAAAAGCAGAACCCAGGTGGGCCTGGCAGCACACGCCTGTAATCCCAGCTACTGACTGGGGAGGCTGAGGCCGGAGGGTTTCAAGTTCAAGGCCAGCCTCAGCAATTTAGTGAGGCCCTAGCAACTAATCAGGGAGGGCCCAGAGGCTGGCACAGACTCAAAATTTTAAAAGTAAATAAAAAGGTCTGGATTCTGTCCCTGGTACATTAAAAAAAAAAACAGAACCAAGCCAGGTGCCACGGCTACCTGTGGTCCCAGCCACTCCGCAGGCTGAGAGAAGATGAGGCTGTTTCAAGGCAATTTAGCGAAAGCCTATCTCGAAATAGAAAATACAGAGGGGCTGGGGCATAACTCAGTGGTAGAGCACCCTGGGTTCTGTAGCCAGAAAAGCCACAACAGCAAAAAAGAAAACCTTTCTATCTTGAGTACTTACTTACAAATGCCCATTGGGGGTCTGGGCATGGTAGGCGCCTGGGGCAGGCAGGGGAGATGCCCAGGGCCCAGTGACAGGAGAAGGTCATGGAACCCCTGGCCCTGCCTGGCTTGGTGTGTCCTGTCCCCCACTTCCGCACCTCCCCATCCTTCACATCCCCCCACCCCCCCCACCCCCGTGGCCTGGCTGACTTGTCTGTCCTGTCCACCTGGGCAGCTGTTCTGGGAGAAGAAGCTGAGCGGCCTGAGTGCCTTTGACATCGCCGAGGAGCTTGTCAGGACCATGGACCTGCCCAAAGGCCTGCAGGGTGAGCAGAGCCCCAGCCCTCCGCTTCTGCTGCCGTCATGTGGCCGTGGAGAATGAGTCTCCTCTGATCTCTGGAGCACCCCAGGGGACACTGCTTGCCTCCAGGTGTCTTAAGAACTTGCCGAAGGCTGGGATGTGGCTCGGTGGTAGAGCCCTTGCCTGCCATGCTCAAGGCCCTGGGGTCCACCCCCAGCTCCATAAACAGTGACCAAAAGGTCTGCAGGGATGTCTGGGTTTGCTCCTGCATTTTGAAGTCACTGTCACGCTGCTCAGCGGTGTGCTAGGCTTGCATTCTTCCTGTTGTGAAAGGCATGGTGCCCAGGTGAGGGCGTGTGGGAGGAGAGCCAAGGCTGGAGAAAGGTAGAGCCCCCATCTGGGTGCTGAGCAAGCAGCCCTGTGACCCCACCCTGTCGGGGCTGTTTCCTCTTCACCTGTTAGGGGTGGGCCCAGGCTGTACGGATGAGACCCTGCTGTCGGCCATCGCCAGCGCCCTGCATACCAGCACCATGCCCATCACGGGGCAGCTCTCAGCCGCCGTGGAGAAGAACCCTGGTGTGTGGCTGAACACCACGCAACCCCTGTGCAAAGCATTCATGGTGACTGACGAGGACATCAGGTAGCTGGTGGCCCTTGTCCCTACTGCACCTATCTCTCAGGGGCCATACCCCCAGCACCTGTGCATTTCCAGTTTACCCAAAACTTAGACATTTCTGCTGACATTACCAGAGTTTTAGAACAGAGTGGCCACAGCAAGGTGCAGAGTGTTGGAATCCTGGGTGCAGGCCAGGCAGGGGCCCGTGGAGGGAGCGAGGGGACCTGGTTGCCGGCTTCACAGCTGCGGTGTCAGAAGCAAGGGCAGAGAAAGGGCAGCCTCCTGGATCGGGCACTGTCTGAGCCTGGCACAGGGAGCTAGGGCACTTATCTAACATCATGGCTGGACACTGGTCCCTGCTGAGTGACCATAAAGGAAACACCTGGGGTGAAGGAGGAGGAGCACAGTGGGTGGGCAGCACCGCTGGTCAGAAGGAGCTGCGGGGCGCAGGGCAGTGGTGGCAGCAGCTGCCGTGAGGTGGCAGTCGGGCCAGGCTCAAGCCAGCAGGGGGAAGCCCAGGGTAGCCGGCGCGCAGCTCCTCGGTGTGCAGAGGCAGATGAGGAGCCCAAGTCTCCCCACGGCAGGGCGCTCTGCACAGCAGGGAGGGGAGAGGTGCTGGGGCTGGACATGCCCACACCCTCCCCTGGCCAGCACTTGTGTCCCCAGGAAGCAGGAGGAGCTGGTGCAGCAGGTACGGAAGCGGCTGGAGGAGGCACTGATGGCCGACATGCTGGCCCACGTGGAGGAGCTGGCCCGTGATGGTGAGGCGCCACTGGACAAGGCCTGTGTGGACGACGAGGAGGACGACGAGGAGGACGAGGAGGAGGAGCCGGAGCCAGACCAGGAGCTGGAGCGTGTCTAGAGCAGGTGCCCGGCTGATGCCCTCCCCACCACGAGGCCAGGGTCTGGGACCTGAGGCCACAGGCTGGCTGGCAAGTGGGGTCAGTGGAAGAGCACCCCAGCCTGGTATGCAGGTGGCGGCTGGGAAAGGGCAGCTGCCCAGAAGCCCCCAGCTCTGTGCTGGGAGCATGCCTCACCAGGCCAGCTCGTGTTCTGGAAGAGCCTAGGTCCCTGTCCCAAGTCACCTTGCTGATGGCGTCCCCTCCCCATCCTTTGCAGACGCCCTGCCTGAGAGCCCTGGGCTGCAGGGCCACCAGCTCGCCTCTACACAGCCACCTACAGACTTGGCCCTGGGCCACACTGGGGACCAGGCTCAGCAAGCAGGCCCAGTCTGGGAGGAGGGCAGCCCCTCCTCCCCTGGGCCTCAACACGGGGCGCCTGAGGGCAGCCCTGCCTGGTGGACCCTCCACAATGGCTCTTCTCTGGGGGCCTAGGGGCCCCCACGTGTGGACTTGGGCCTGTGGTGCCCCAGCCTGTCCCCGTGGTCTCTGCCCTGAGCTCCTCCACATGGGAGAGGTGCCAGCAGACTCACCCGTCCCTCGTGCCCTGGAGCTGGTCACACATGAGGTCTTTTCAGTTGCCATGTCTCCAGGAGCCAGGGAAATATTCCAGAAACACAGCTTCACCTCCTTTCCGTGCAGTGTGAGCAGCACTGCTCTGGGCCAGCAGGTCAGCCCTTCGGACAGCATCGTGACCATGGCCCTGCGCTGCCACCCAGCTGGGTAGAGCTGGTGACCCCAGTGAGGGCATCCAAGAGCCAGCAGCCACCTAGGAGGTCACTTCCCTCAATAAATGGATGATACAAATGGGGCTGGAACTTGGCTGTTTGACCCTTTGTTTGGCCACCAGCAGAGGTGATGGGGACAGCTTTCTGAAACCCGCTGCCCTGCCTCGGTGCAGGTGCTTGAACCAGGCTACACCCAGGTTCCCCTGCTGTGCCAGGGAGAGCCCTAGTCCAGCTGCAGAGAAATGAGCTGGCCCTTTGGGTGTGGCCCCCACAATAGCCACCTCTGAGAGTAATGTGGTGGCACAGTGGCAAAGGGAGTGGCCGCTGCTTGGACACCCCCGCCACCCCTGCTGTGGCTTGGAGATGCCCGGGCCCAGTTAGGCCCTGCTTCTTCCTCCATCGCCCTGATGCTCACAGCACTGGTTGTCCTTTGGCTCCCCAGACTGCCGCAGCCAGGATGTGGTCACTCTCAGGCTGGACAAGAGGGAGGGCAGCACCTTCTTGGCTCCCCCTGGGGCTCAGCCAGCACTACCCCTGGCAGTTGGGGGCGGATCCTGGCATGATGGCCGAAGAAGGGACCCCCTTCATTCGTGGGATCCCCTGCTAAGGTCACTGTTAGACCTGCATTGTCCCCCTTGCCCTCAGGACCATGGCCTGGGGTGCCAGGTTGATGCTGTCACCTTTCAAAGCACAAACCCTTGGCACAGGAAGACTGCTCACTCCCTGGGCTGCCAGACGGGGCCAGTCTCCCACGAGGCTGCCAGGGGAGCTCCTGTGGGGCCAGCTCCTCTTCCTGGCCCTGGGTTCTTGTGAGGATGATGGCTTCAGTGCTTGCTGTGACCCTGAGGCCAGGGGTCCTGCCTGGTAGGGGACACAGCTGCAGTGGGCACTGTACCTGAATAAAGACACTTCCAAGAACATGGTGTGGAGCCTTGTGTTGGTTTTGAGGGTCCAGGACTTCTCCATGCCCTTGGGGTGTGAGCCTGTCTAGGCAGGGCCAGGTGCCTGGGGGCCAGGGTCCCTGGACTAACACCTGTCAGTGGATGATGAGAGGGAGGCAGTGGGGCTCGCAGGCCCCCAACCCTGCCAACACCTGGGACCCAGGGATAACAGTGGCATATAAAGCAGGAAGTCGGGCTGGGCTCAGCGGTAGAGCGCTCGCCTGGCACGTGCGAGACACTGGGTTCGATTCTCGGCACCACATACAAATAAATAAAGGTGTTGTGTCCAACTACAACTGAAAAAATATTTTTTAAAATGTAGGGGCTGGGGCTCGGTGGCAGAGCGCTCGCTCGCCCAGCATGCATGAGGACCTGAGTTGAGTCCTCAGCACCACATCAAGACATGTCCACCTAAGACTACAAATATTAAGAAACAGTAGGAAGTTGCCACAAAGGCATCTGCAGGGGAGTACCTCGGGACCCTTCAGGCTGGAGGAGCTGTAGAGAGGGCCCTGATGCTGTCACCTAGGGCCCACCTTGATGCCATCCAGTGGCACAGGGTCACAGGTCACATTCCACCGCCCAGTGAGGACAGACCCACCCACCACACACCAGAAGAATTGGAAAAGGAGGGTGTGCTCCAGGAGGGTCCCTGGGGCCACGGCAGCCTAGGGTCTTGCCCACCTGGACCCTGGGTTCCCACCCAACCCAGGCCCTCAGTAGCCCACCCTGACCCCAGACTGCGTGACCAGGAAAAGGGGAGACCACGCTCTGCCATGTGCTGGCCTCTCCAGAGCATCTGCCCTGCTCCATGGCACTCAAGACCCCTCTTGACCCCAGGGCTCTGTCCCCATCCCCCTCTGGGCAGGGCCTTGGTGACTAGGCCCTTTGCCCTTCTGCCCCTGCGAGGCTGATCATTCACTCTGACCTAGAGGTATGCGCAGCCATGAGACAGAGCCAGGTCCCCCTCGTGAATGTGAAGGTGGCACAACCCCGATTCCTCACGGGCCCCTTTGCCCTCAGTCCATCCAACACCAGCTGTCGCCTCCTGTCCAGGCTCAGGGTCCCTCCTGAGCTCTCCTTTCTCCACAGGGCCCCAGGGGGCCCCAAAGATACAGTCCAGTGTTAGAGGGGACACCCTGCATCCAGAAGTGGGCTCTGGGAGTGGACATAGAGCCTGAGAGTGTCAAGCAGGCCAGGCAGGCAGGCCCTGGGCATGGAGCCTGAGCGCTTCCAACTGCCTGGCTGTGATGTCCACCGGTACTGGCCCCCCAAGCCAGACCCGGCTGCTACAGGATGTTGGGGTGCTGAGACCCCCCTGACCAGGACCCACTGCTGTGTAGCGGTGCCCCTCAGAGAGCACCTGGCGCCAACCCCACCCAGCCTGCACTGTGCAGCAGCAGCCAGGGCCTCGGGTGCTCACACTGCCCAGGAAGACAGCAGTGGTCCCCGTGCCCCCTCCCCTGCACTCACACCCTCTCCTGGGGGGCTGAGGCGCCTCAGCTGGGCACAGTCAGTTTGGGGAGAGATGAGGACGATGGCACCAACCCTCCCTGCGGCAGGCAAAACAGGACCCTGGGCTCCCAGTGCTCCCTCCCCTGTCCTCTGCCCTCCCTGGGGTGCAGCCCAGCACCTGTGAGCTCAACCCCAGCCCTGACAAGTCTGGAATGTCCCCAAAATCGCACAACTGTCTACTTTTAAAAGAGAGAATTTTGATGTATGTCAATTATATATTTGAATCTCTCTCTTCCCCCCCCCCCAAGACTCAGGGAGCCTGAAGCCTGTCTCCAGATTCCAGCCCTAGAGCTGAGACCAGTCTGGGTGGAGCAAGTGGGACCTGAAGGCAGCCGGTGTGGGACAACGGCCAGCAGCGGGCGCCCACAGAGGCCATCTGGAGCTGGGAAGGGGCTCAGATGCAAGGCCTGCGGTTTGTGGTGGTTGCTTTGTAGTAGGGATTAAGCCAGCTGACTCTGACCTTGCCATCCTCCTCCTCAGCCTCCTAAGTCACGAGGACGACAGACAGGCGCGGCTACCACACCTGGCTTTGGCTGGGAATCTGGGGTGGGGGGGAGACAAAAATAAATTTAGGCTGAGTGCAAGGAACCTGCCCCAGGAGTGAGCACAGAGCTGGGGTTTAGGCATCCTTCCAGAGAGGCAAAGCACCACAGGGGCCAGGGCGGGGCCTGACAGGACAGCACCATGCTGGTGGGGTCCACTGGGTCCCAAACCTGGCTCCCAGACCACCAGATGACAAAAAAAAAAAAAAGAAGTCTGTAGCCACAAAAAAATAAACCCATGAGCCTTCCTGAGCATCTTGCCAGGTGCAGTTTCCAGGTATCTGATCACCCAGAACCATGTGGGAGACCCTGGGCTGAGATCTGGCTTCCAGTTCACTTCCTTGAAGCCACTGTTTTTGAAAACAACTTATATGCAATAAACGCTGTTTTCAACATTCTTTCTTCCTTATTACCATCTTGCCCTAATACTTTTAAAACTGTAAGTAATAACCAGGTGTAGTAGTGTACACCTGTAATCCCAGTAGCTCAGAAGGCCGAAGCAGGAGGATCACAAGTTGGAGGCCAGCCTCAGCAATTTAGCAAGAAACAAAGCAACTCAGATTTGTGGTTCAGTAGAAAACACCCGCGGGCTTAATCCCCCTACCAAAAATAAAAAAACAAACGGACGAAACAAAAATAAATACTACAAGTACAGGGGCTGGGACTGTAGCTCAGCGGCAGAGCACGTGCCTGGCATGTGTGAGGCACTGGGTCCGATCCTTAGCACCACATAAATAAACAAATAAAATAAAGACATACTGTCCATCTACAACTACAAAAAAGAAAAAAGAAAAAAAATACTACAAGTATATAGGATTTTTTCCCTTTCAAGTCCTCATTATTATTACTAAAGTCCTCATGATGAAAATTAGCATTGCCAGCCTTTTTTTGTATGTGGGGTGGAGGTACAGGGGACAGAACAAGGGATACTTAACCACTGAACCACATACCCAGCCCTTTTAATTTCTGAGACAGGGTCTAAGTTGCTCAGGATGTCCTCAAAACTTGTGACTCTCCTGCCTCAGCCCTCAGATCACCAGGATCATAGGAGAACAGCATTGTCTGGCAGCTCTCTTTTTATTCTGAGACAGGACCTTGCTAAGTTGCCAAGTTGGCCTGGAACTTGCCACCCTTCTGCCTCAGTCTCCCAAGTCCCCTGGGATTGCAGGCATGCACCACTGCCCCCAATATGCTCATCTTCCTTATCTACTTTTTTCCGTATTTTTAACTTTTGCAGTGCTAGGGACTAAACCCAAATCCTTGCACATGCCAGGCCAGCCCCTCCCCAGTTAGATTTTACATATATAGAAAAGAGGCCAGCCAAGCCAGTGGCACAAGACTGTCACTCCAGCCACTGGGGAGATTGAGGCAGGAGGAGCCAAAGCCACAGCAACTCAGGGAGACCCTGTCTCAAACAATAAAACCTGGGCTGTAGTTTAGTGGTAGAGCCCCTGGGGTTCAGTCCCCAGTACCACATATACTGTGAGGGTTTGGCCACCCCCATGGCACCTGCAGCAGCCTCCTCACTATCTCCACCTGGACTCCACCCTATGTCCACCCATGCCCAATGGGCTGGGGTATTGATGCTATTTAATCCACAAACATTTCCAAATCAATCTCTCAAAGGATTTTTCCTAAAATTTTTAAAAATAATTTTTTTTAATATGGAAGGTTTTAAACACACATCAGACCCAGTGAAGTTCATATGCCAACACCCAGCTTCATCGAGATGACCAGGAGCCAGGTGCAGTGGCCACAGCTGTCATCACAGCTGCTTGGAAGGCAAAGGCAGGAGGATGGCAAGTTCAGGGCCAGACTGGCAACTTAGCCAAGACCCTGTCTCAGCAGTGGAGCACTTGACTAGCATGGTGAGGCCCTGGGTTCCATCTCAATACCAGAAGAAAATAAAAGAAAGAAAGAAAAGATTAATGAGGGCCCATCTTGAACCTTGAACTTTTTTTCTTACTGTCGCTGGAGGTTAAATCTAGAGGGCTCTGCCGCTGAGCTACACCTCCAGCCCTTTTTCTTTTTATTTCCCAACAGGGTCTCACTCAATTGCCTCTGGGGAGACCAGTTCTAGGCTGGCCTTGGACGTGCCACCCTCCCGCCTCTGCCTGCAGCACTGGGACTGCAGGTGTGGCCCTCTGCTCCTGTTTTTCACTCCGTGTGGCAGGGCGGCAGTGGAGGGAAGTGCAGCCATGCATCTCTTCAGGCACTCTGTCCCCAAGACCCAACTTCCTCCTCCATAAGAACTCCCCTGCCCCCTCTTTGGAAGCCACCCCCAATCCCTCAGAGGCAGGAGGTGTGCGGCTCTCTGAGGAATGCCTGTGCACTCTAACCACCCTGGTCTCAGCTTTCCCGCCCGCGGCCAGCAGCCTGGCACTCTGTCCTGTTCCAGCTAGCCCTCCTGCCCCCTCACTTCAGCACCCCACAGGATCAGTCCAGTGCAGGCTGTGGTGTAGCTCCTGGTGCCCAGCTGGGCAGCTGGGCCTCTGGCTTTGAATACCAGCCCCTGCAGGCGGAAGCTTCTGTGTGGAGACTGGGCCACGGAGGACAGTGGGAGTGAGGGTGTCAGTCTGTCTCCCTAAGCCCGGGGAATGCGTCTGTCCCATGGGGAAGGGGCTAGATATCAAGTATTTGAAAGTACTTATCAATCCCAAATGCTGGAGTGCAGGAAACAGAAGTCTGGGACCCCAGTAGAGGAACTGGGGCTGTATCTGGACAGGGGTCAGGAATGACATTTCACAGCAGGGAGGAGGGCTCTGGGCAGAGGAACCTACCTAGGTTAGTGCCAGGACTTTCATCGATATTCTGACGGGCACCTGTGTTGATGACTGTGCAGAGAGAAGTGACCAAAAGTGATGGACAATCTTGTGTGGATGTTCGCAGCTGGGAGAGGAGATGGAAAGATGGAGGACCAGGACAGGCAAGACTGCCCCACGAACCCAGACTTGCCAGGCAATTGGCCCCAAGGTGCGCCCTCAGCCACGGTGGGGGTGGGGTTTATTCTGTTCCATCCACCAGGAGAAATCTCAAAGAAGCCCAGCAGGCCCATGAGGCTGCTGAAGGTAGGGCACCTGGCACTGGGTGGCTCTGCAGGTGGACACGCCAGGCTGCTCTCAGAACCCACAGGCAGGGCCACCTCCCTGGCACAGGGCACCTCAGAAAGGGTGGGCCTGGGGGAGCATCACCCAGGCGGAGGTTTGGGCTTGGGGTACACAGCCGCCCCCATCCGGCGCTGACCTTCCCAGCGGTGGCGAGTAGGAGCGCGCCTGCCTCGGAAGCCTGGCACGGACTCGAGAGGAACTCGGAAAGAGGAGCCCGAGACCCGGGGCGCGCGCGGACCGGGTCCTTGGCACCAGGAGAGAGGGCAGGCGCGGGGTAGCGGGAAGCCCGAGCGACCGTGGCTGGGGGACTCGGGCCGGAGCCCCACGCACCGCCCACCCGCGGGCGCGCCCGCACGTGCGAGCGCCCGGGTCCGCGCCCACGGCGGGGGCGGGGCTGCCACGTGACCGCCGGCCCGGCCCGCGCGTGCGCGCTGCAGCCGCCCATTGTTGGCCGCGGTGACGTCGGAGGGCGGGGCGGGGTAGGGCGGGGCGCGCGGCCGGGAGGCGGGAGGCGGGCGGCTGGCGGCGGGAGGGCAGGAGCGTCCCGCGCCGCCGCCGCCGCCTCGGCCGCCAGGAGCCGCCGCAGCCCGCCGAGCAGCAAAGAGTCGCGGCCGCCCCCGGC